AGGTGAAGCCGCAGGGTGGGAACCATGGTCATGCTCCAGAGTGCAGAGGGAATCGAAGAGATGGAAAGAGGATGTGGTGTTGGAGTGAGGGGTGGAGAAGGAAGAGCAGTGTTGTGCGTGCATCCCATGGTTCCCGGTGAGGAGAGCGTCGGAGAGCAAGTGGAGGCCGATCACTCGCCTCATGTTCTACACTCACCATCTTGTGTTTCTCCGTGTTTCGCTTTGCGAGCCTGGCTTGCGCGTCCCTGCGATGCGAAATGCACAAAGAGGTCAAGTCGAGTGTATTAATAATAATAATAATTAATCATCATGACCTCCTGAATAATGAGTTGCAAGACTAACACTGTGACTGTATGTATGTACTCTGACTGTATGTGACAGTGGGACGCTGTGAAGAGTAGGATCGCTACACCACCCTCACCTCCTCCTCCTCCTCCTCCCCCCCCCTTACCATCCACTTTGACTCCCTTCCACATCAAGCAAACGCTCACCACCCATCATCAAACCCGCAGCACGGTACAACGCCGACACTCTTCTTCTTCGTTTAGAACCGTAATCGACACAAGAACCTCTCGTCCACTACCATCCCCGCGAACCGCCACGATCGCCCCAGCTCAGCAACCATGGACTTTCAACAGATGATGCAGCAGGCGAGGATGGGAGGCGGAGGCGGTGCCAGCCATCTCGGTGACTCCCCACAGAACGACAACGCTGAGATGGTCTACATCTCCAGCTTGGCTCTCCTCAAGATGCTCAAGCACGGCAGGGCAGGCGTACCCATGGAGGTTATGGGCCTCATGCTCGGCTCCTTCATCGACGACTACACCGTCAGCGTCATCGACGTCTTTGCCATGCCTCAGTCCGGAACCGGTGTCAGCGTGGAGGCCGTCGACCCTGCTTATCAAACAGGTGAGTCCCCTTCCCCCTAGCCCCCGGATACGCTTCCCTGGTCTCGGCTTCGTTTGCCCCATGGCTCAAGCATGCGATCCTACTCCTCTCCCCTCCCATCTCTCCCTCTCGGCTGGCAGCCATGTTGGAAATGCTCAAACAGACCGGAAGGTGAGTCGCTCGAAGGAACGTGGAGGTGTCTGCTGTGCGGACGTGGTGGGGGGGGGGGGGGGGCTACCGAGTTGGGTCGGACTGGGCCGCAGCTGACCGTGCCGCCAATCTCCCCTTGCCCATCATCCGCGCTTCTACCGATCCAGACCAGAAATGGTCGTCGGATGGTACCACTCCCACCCTGGTTTTGGCTGCTGGCTTTCCAGCGTGGATATCAACACTCAGCAGTCGTTTGAGCAACTCAATCAGAGGGCCGTGGCCGTGGTGGTAGACCCGATTCAGTCTGTCAAGGGTAAGGTCGTGATCGACGCATTCCGACTCATCAACCCGAACACAGTCATGCTAGGACAGGAGCCTCGGCAAACTACTTCCAACATAGGCCACCTTAACAAGCCGTCCATCCAGTCCCTCATCCATGGTCTTAACAGGCATTACTACTCGATCGCGATCGGGTACAGGAAGACGGAACTCGAGCAGAGCATGCTCAACAACCTTCACAAGCGAACGTGGACCGAGGGCCTGAGGCTGAGGGATTTCGGCGAGCACAAGGAGGGTAACCAGAAGGCGATCGAGGTGAGTCGGGCCATACATGCCAGCCATCGCCTTTCAAAACTGATGGGACGCGTGAGGCCTGTAGGTTTCGCTGACAGGTCAAACTCCGCTGTTCCTCTTCCTCCCCTCAATCTTCCTGATCCGAATGCCTTCGAAAGCGCATGCTGGCACTTTCCGAGGCATACAACAAGTCTGTGCAAGAGGAGTCGACTCTCACGGCAGAGCAGCTAAAGACGCGGCACGTTGGCAAGCAGGGTAAGTCATCTCCGAAAGTTTCACCTCCCATGTCGACATGAAGCGTCCATCGCTCTTGCTCTGCTCAAGATCAAAAACTGATTGGATCTTCCGACTTTTGGTATCCCATCTGCACAGATCCAAAGCGCCACTTAGAGGACGCTGTAGAGCAATCCATGGGCGATCAGATCGTTCAGAGTTTGGGAACAATGTGAGTTGTTCTCGCCTTGTTTCGAATCGTTACGTGGCTGGTCCAAATCTCGGCCTCGCTGTCTGACTAGATCCTTTTCATCCGATTTTGAACACAACAGGTTGCTTGCCGAGCTATGAAAGAAGAGGCTTCATCCTCGCTGCACTGTACGACTAGGTTTCTCTTTTTCGCATGAGGATGGGCTCGAAAGCAATACACCAGTGAAACCAAACAATATGCGATGATGCATCAACAACCATCTCATCGATCTTCTTCTGATGTGAATCGGTGAGGTCAGCATCTGCGTGAGATCCTTGGGTGGTAGCAGGGAAGGACGTGCGTTGCCTCTCACGTCCCGAGTCCGATGAGCTCCATTGCGCATGGGAGTAAAGGACGAAGGAGCATTTTCCGTGAAATTTAGGGTATGAAATATTGCACCATTTTCTGTGTGAGGTTGTCAAGCATACCTAGGTGGATGCAGATGTTGGGTCGGTCCGCATCTCACATCAGACTCTCTCTCAAGGCCAGCCACTCCCTCCTTTCCCTCTCGTGCTCATCTCTCCTCCTCTTCTTGGTCATCCTCGCCTCCTCCCTACTGCCACTCGACTCGGATGCCTGTTCTTCGACTCCGCCATCGACCCTTGCCTTCCTCATCACGTGAGAAACGCCGGTCCTCCGGGTCTTGATCCCTAGACCCCTCTTGTCGTTCTTGAAAGTCACAGGTATGGGTACAAGGTTTGGCCTCTTCCTGATCTCCAGCGTCGAGTCGGATTCACATTGGCCGGTCTCCTTTTCCGCATGGGGGCTGGACGGCGAAGGGGAGGCGGCTGTGGCGACCTCCTCCGGCTTGAGATCGACGCCGCCACCGCCGAAAATGGACTCATCGTCTTTGCCAGCTGGAAGGAGAGACATCCAATTGTAGGCTCGTGTTTCAACCCCTTCGGTCCCTCTCTCGTCACCCTCACCTTCGCTTTGGGAATCGTCCGAGATGACGATGACCCCTTCGTGTATCTTCCCTTCCTTCCCGTCCTTATCCCCCTCCTCATCATTCTCCGCCTCGGACGTCAGGTCGATAATGCCATTGCCTTGACCTTTGGTGGTGCTGAGCGACAGGGTGGAATCGGCCAGAACTAAGCCCCTTCTTCTTTCGGAATCTTCGCTTCCTCCGCCTTGCCGCTTCCTCCTCCTCCTGGCTTTCATCCAGGCCCATTCCGAAGTGCCCAGCCCCATCCCCTCGGACCATCCCATCCTCTGCAGCAGAGCGTACCCGACATTTCCAGGCTGGATGGACAACCTCTCTGTTGGTCCTGGGTTCGATTCGCCTCGCAAAGTCAGGGTCCTGTCATGGATACTCAGAGCTGTGGAGGTGGATGAGTCTGAGCTCGGTTGCCGACTTGAATCCTCGGGGGAGGCGAGGACGACAGCTTTGCCCAACCGGTGCGAGATGGTCTTCCTGTGGTCTTGGAACTCTTGGTTGGAACAGGGAGAGGGTAGGATGTCGCCGCATTCGGGGCACCTTCCTTCTTGAAATGATAGGTGGGCTGGACCAGCCTCGGTCTCTCCACGACCCTCTCTATCCCTCTCCTTCCCGCTACCCCTTTGTATGCTCCTCCACTTGTCTATCAGATGCTGTGCAAACGGCTGATAAGAGGAGGGACTGCGAAGTTTTGATGGGCCCGTGGAAGCCCTATGCGATCCTAGCTGGCAAGGAACTGCTGACAATGGTGGTGGTGGCGGTGGTTGGAGTGGAGCCTCCCTTGATGTTGATGAAGATGATTCGGTAGCCTTCGATCCTTGACATCTCAGATCCCTTGTCAGGGAAGCGTAGAAGGAGGCCATGCTCTGAAGATTTGGGGAAGATGTTTCCTCATGCTTGCTTTCCTTGCCAGCGATCAGCGAGGTTTTGTCAGGTGCGACTTCATCTTGCTGCCCTTGCACCTCTTCCTCTTTCTCCTTCCCCCTCTCCTCCGCAGGACGAAGGGAAGGATCGCTCAGGCCAGTGGCTTTGACGAATCGGATCGGTTCCTTCCTTGAAAGCTTTGGATCATGGATCGGGCCTGTTCTGTAAGCGATCCATCTCCTTGCCTCTTCGTTGTGGTGACTTGAGAAGGAAGGACCTTGATCTTCACCATCTCCCATTTCAGGATGACCCTGGCGTCCTCGACCTGGAGCCAGGCCAGGTCTTGATCTCGGACCGTTCTCCAAAGTTGCTCGATGGCTCGAAGAAGGTGGTGGTGGGTCGGACCTTGCCCTGATGTGGAAGGCGTTCAAAGCCATCTCCTCCCAGGTGCTACTGTTGCTGACAAAGGATCGCTGAGTCTTTCCCCTTGCAAGGTTGGAGAAGTTGGCTCTGGGCCTTTCCTCCGCCACACTTTACTGGCGTGCCAGTAGCTTGGCGGCGGGGGGTGCCGAGGACGACCGGGGATTCCTGGGGAGTCGGCTTCTTCAACCAAGTTCAAGTTGTCAATAGCTTTTGAGTTGGCTCTGCGGAATGTGAAATCGGATGAAGACTTGTCGGGTTGCGGATCCCTTCTTCGTCGACAACTCGACATCTCCTACGGCAGTTCTTTCATCCCAAGGAAAGGAAAAGGGGAAAGATGAGATGGGATCTTCCTTGAACAAGGAGGATGTGGAGGCCAGTTCCAGATGCCAGCCATTGCCCATTCGATCCTGCCCGTCCGTCCCCGACGAAAGGGGTCCGAAGAGGGAAGGTGAATCACGATGCTTGTAGCATTTCTTGAAAATCCAACATGATCAATCTTCCTCTTCCTTCCCAGTATGAGCAACCAACGAGACCCGAGCATTTCTCACCCAGACTGTTATGAGGAGCACTAGGATTAAGCGCTGGAATCGAGGTTTTCCGAGAGAGTGCGTGTCGAAAAACCAAAAAGTGATCCAGTACATTATGAGTAGACGAAATGACGGTGCAACACACAGCTGGTTCGCGCAATGGTCAGCATAGTGAGGGGTTGTGGGAAAATGGCTAATCCGCTGTGTTCGGGCTAACGCGATGGTTCTCTCACAGATATTCCCGGTTCGAGTCCGGGCAACCCCCATTCTTTTTGATCTTCTTCCTTCCAATCCATTTTCCTCATTCCTTCACACCTTCTTCTGCATCGAACCACATCACTTTCTACGGTTCGTACAACTGCACTTCTTCTTCGCTGCGCCGTGCGGGGTTGTGGGAAAATGGCTAATCCGCTGTGTTCGGGTTCGCTGAATCGTCCACGCCTTGTATCACAGATATTCCCGGTTCGAGTCCGGGCAACCCCCATCTTGTTCTTTTTTTTTTTCTCTCCCTGTTCTTCCCCCCCTCCTTCCTGCCACGTTCATCGAGCAGCTGCACACAACCAACCACCGCCTTTCGAATGAGGTCTCAAGGATGACCCGATCGATGGGCTTCTCTTGACCCGATGGAACTCAATCCGCTAGTCATTCATTCCTTCATAGAGGTGGAGGCAGCAAGCGTGAGCGTTCTTCTCCCCTCCCTCGATGCCCTTGAAGGAGCAGCAGCATACATCCTCGTCCTCTCTTCCTCATCACCACATGATCCATCCAATCCACCACAGATGAAGCCAAAGCGCCAATCTCCCAAGCCTCCCTTGTGGATCCTGCGCTTCCATTCCCCCTCCCCCGTCCATTCCGTCTCGTTGGGATCCAAGCATGGCCTCATCTCCTGCGGAGACGCTCAAGGTAGGGTTTCCCTGACAAGCATTTCAGACTACAGGCCCAGGTTTTTCTGGAAGGCCCACAACGAATCCATCCTCAGTGCCGAGATCAAGGATCGCTTTATCATCACGTGCGTCTCGTTCGATCCCTTCTTCCGGCCCAAGCGGAGAGAATCGCAGGTCTTGGGCAGTAGCTTTTCTGAAATCCGCCTGGGCTGGGACGTAGGACGAGGGTCCAGTATGGTCTGTGGCGTGCTTGATCATCCAACCGACTTCGCTCGCTCCTTTACTTCCTTCCGCGCAGGCATGGGCGTGATAATTCGATCAAGGTCTGGAGGGTCTCTCCTTCTGACTCTGGCTCGCTTTCCCAAAAGGCTCCTCCCACGACAGGGGGCGAGCTACCCTCCAGGATGGTCGAGAACCTTCCACTACCTGAGCTCGTCAAGACCTTGGAGGTGAATTCCCTCAACTACTGTCGCTTCTCATTCTATCCCTTGCCGGCAGAGGGCGAGCGGTCCAACCTCAAAGGCTTAATCGCCGTCCCAAACACTCTGGATGCTGCCTTCGTGAGTCCCACTCGGTAGGAGGGGTTACCGCAATGTCTCAGTGTCTGAACTGGGGCGGCCTTGTTGAGAAACGTCTTTTCCCGCAGATTGATATCTACAACATCTTTTCGGGCCGAAGATTGTGTGAGGCGATAGGGAAACCTTCCACTCCCTTGGCGAAGCGTGAAAGACCCGGTGAGCTCAAGGAAAGGAGAGGAAGGTGTGCCAGGCGAACTCTCAGAAGCAAAGTCACTCAATGTTCCCTTTTCCCATCTCACCTGAACGAAAAACAAAAACGAAAAACAAATAAAATGAACATGAAAAAAAGCAATCTTGATGAGTCTGAAACTCTTCACGTTTCAGGATCGATCAGAGCTGGCATGCTTGGCAGCCTACGAAGATGGTAGCTTGACCCTCTGGTCCTCAGATTCCTCGCCTCACGATCTCTTGACCCAAGCGAGGGCGTTCAGCTGGAAAGTCTTGTGGAGTGAGAAAAGGCATTCCGAGGCTGGTGAGCTGATGATCCAAGATCGCACACAGATTCCCTTCACCGTCTAACCGATCCCACTTGCATTTGACGGCGAATCTCTCCTCTTCACCTTGAAAACCGTCCAGTCATGGCGGTGGATCTTTCTCCGAAGGCCGAATTCGCCATTTCAGTCAGCGCCGATGACCGTTTGGTACGGTACTCGCTCGATGTGAGGTTTTTCGCCAACTGTCCCCATCCTCCCCGTTCATCCAAAGCCGGTACTTATATGAGGGTTCTGACCTTGGCTCTGCGCCCCGAACCCCCTTCTTTTTTCTCGATCCTCGAACCTGCAAAAGTATCCAAGAGATGAAAAGCCCCCAGTTCCACTCTCCCGAGCCGTAGGTCATCCGGGTAAAGCCTCGGTCGCCATCAGGAGTGATTCCAAACTGATAGCCGTGGGGGGTTGGGATGGAAAGTGAGTCTTGCACTTGTGGCATTTCATTTCTTCTTCTCCCTCCCCCCTCCTCCACCTTCGCACATCCCTCACGCACGGGAATCCGTAAAAAGTCCCAGAGCGTTTGACCCAATCCCCGCTCAACACTCATGACATCCTTTACCCCCTTCCCCTCTTTCCTTCTCTTATCCCACAGCGTGAGACTGTACTCGACTTTGGACCTCAAGAACGCCGGCAGTCTCAAGTATCACCGAGGTTCAGTCCTCTCCGTATGCTTTGGTGGGGGCGATGACGACGGCGGCGCAGCGAGCGGGAAGGAGGACGAAGAAGGAGAGTTCGAGTCGAGCGGCTCAGACACTTCAGATTCCGACCATGGTCGAACAGACCACTCGGGTACGATGCTCGCGTGCGGTTCCGAGGATGGCAAAGTTTCGCTTTGGAGGCTGTGAAACGATACCTGGATATCCCCACCCCAATCTTTCCATAGAACGAAGATCTGGAAAAGTAAAAGAAAAAAAAAAAAAAAAGTTGAAAATTTGAGAACATGAATCCGAGAGAGGATCTCGCTCGACATGAGGGCGTGGGCAAAAGTTGGAGCAAAGGGGGGTTAGGGAGGAGAGGAGCCAAGTTTGGAAAGGGCCTGCTCGTTGGCGCTTCACTTTCGGTAGTGTAACCTCTTGAAGTTGACTGTCGGGAGGAGATAGGGGGAAAGGGCGTTGAAGAGAATCAGGTCAACTCATCTGGGAAACCGCCTTGAACCGATACAACCCCCCACCATCCGAAGGGGAAACTCGCGATGATGGAAAAAAAGGGGGGGGGGGACGGACCACGCTTCCGTGGAGCGATTCAAAACTCACAGTAAAGTTGGAGGACGCCCCTGTCGAAGCTGCTCCTGAAACCCCTTCGGTGGGAGTACTCCCACTCCTTGTTGACGATCCTGAAGGCGATGTCCTCGTAAGGCGGTCCGGCGGAGAACCTGAGGAGGACCGTGTCGCGGTTGCCAGGTTCCTTGATGATCCTGTAGGTCGGGGCGGACGACTTGTCGATGAGGTCCGGGTAGAAGATGTTGAACTTGTACCCTTGGACCACCTTGGGGGGAGGGTTGTCGGTGTCGTAGTGCGTCTGGTTGTACTTGTTCCACTCGTAGCCCGTGTGGACCCGGTTGAAGTACCTGGGCTTCCTGGGTCGGTACTTGTCCTCCCACTTGTACGTCTGCCTGGCGAGGTTCTCGTCCTTGTTGAACGTCTCCTCCTCCACGTCCAGAGCCTTGCTGGCCTCTTGCCTGTAGAGCGAGGTGGAGGCGTCGCCGCCGTGGCCGGGCAGGCTGGTGTCGTCGTCCTTGTTGTTCGAACCGGACTTGGTCCTCGGGACGAAGGCTACGCCAAGCACCGAGCGCCTCGCGCTGACGAGTTGCTCCCTGTCCTCTTGGAGCGTGACGACGGGCAATCTTCGATCCTCGTAGTTCATCTTGGACTTGTCGAGCGGCGTGGGTTCCATCTCGCTCTCGTCCCAGAGCGATTCCATCTCCTTCTCCAACCTTTCGTCTTCCTCAGCGGCGGCGTCCCGGTCTTCGTCGGTGGGTTCGAGAGCGGCGGCGCGATCCACGTGCCGTTCCTCTCCACCACCCATCTGGTTCAGCAGGTCGGCCTGATGCCTCAAGGCTTCGTCCCTCTGCTTCCTCTGGAGGTACTCTATCCTGTTGGAGAGGACCACCTCGTGCATGTCCCTCAGCTTGGCCTTGGCCTTCCAGACCACGATGGATTTCAGCAGGCTCTCCCAGTACTCGACGTCGACCGGTTCGCCGCTGGTCAGTTTCGATCGCACCTGCTCCTGCAGTTGGATGAGCTGATCGTGCGTCTTTGTGGAGAGCATGGCGTTGGTCTCTGCCTTGACTGCCGGGTCGATCCTCGAGTGTTGCTGCTGCTGCTGCTGCTGGCGAGGATCGCCTCGAGAATCGCCTCTTTGAGACCTCAGTTCGGACAGCTTGTCGTCGCAAACCACGATCATCGACTGTGGCAGGGGAGTGGAAGAAGGAAGGTGGGAGTCAGCAACTGATTTTGTATGCCCCCTTTTCCGGTAAACAATTGGAGGAAGAGGAGGAGGAGGAGGAGGAGGAGGAGGGGGAGGAGGAGGAGGAAGAGGGTGCGCGTGTATGCGAGAGAGACTCACCCTCCAAAAGTCAAGGTTGCTCTCCTTCTTCTCCAAGGTGAGGTACATTTGAATGTCTTGATGCAATTCCTCCGTCTCCTCCAGCGTGAGATTCTGGAGCGATGATTCGGTTCCAAGACAGTTCAGGGAGGAGGGAGAGAGAGAGAGAGAGTTCCGCAAACGAGAGAAAAAGGTGAGCGAACGGTTATCGTCGATGGGATGGAGAGAGAGGAGAAAGAAAAAAAAAAAAAAAAAAAAAAACTCACATCGAAAATGTTGTAGGGTTCTTCGAGGTCGATCTCCAAGCCGGCTTCGTCATCCTCCTCCTCCTCCTCCTCGTCGTTCCGTTCCTGGTCGTCCATCCCATCTTGGCCTGCCAGGTGGCTGGGTTTGATCCTCAACGGGTCGGCCCACTTTAGGTTGATACTGAGAAGGTCGATGGGCTTGGCCCTGTTCTCCCTGACTCGGATGTTGGCTCGCCTCTTTGCCTGCTCGAGGTGGAAGTCGTCCTCCTTGGCCACCCACTCGGCCATCTGGGCGGATTCGGCGAGCCTGGCCATCCTGCTCTCCTCCTCCTCCCTGAGCGCGGCCTCCCTCTCCCTCTCGGCACGTTTGGCGTTCAGCTTTTCGAGCTCGGCCTTGGCTTCCTCCCTACGGATGGCGTCCCTCCTCTCGGCCTCCTTCCTGCTGAGACCCTGCTTCCTCTCCTTCTCCTCCTTCTTGCCCCACTTGAACTTTTGACCCAAGTTTGCGTCGTTGAAAGGGTTGTCC